TTTTTTTGTATTTTTGTAGAGAAGGGGTTTCGCCATGCTGCCCAGGCTGGTCTTGAACTCCTGAGCTCAAGTGACACTCATTCTTTACAACTCAGTTGGGGATCACCTCTCCCTAAGCCTGCTTAGGGCACTGCCAAGTGGGCAGCAGACACTGGGCTTCCCACATTGTGGCATGTGTGGAGACTGCTACAGTTCTGTGTGCCCTGAGACCAGACACCTCCTCAGAGAGAACTGGGCCCACTTCCACCTCTCCTGGTGACACCTGACATTCTCAACAGCATCACTGCAGTGAGGGGCTACGGACATGAGGAACCCTCCTGCTCTAATGTCCCCAGCCTGCTGTGTGCTAACTCTTGTGTGTAGTTTCATAGCTTCTGCAAGTTCTTTCCCCACTATTTCACTGCGACTGGTCCTTGTTGTCAGCTGTTGAGACCTAATTTGTCACTTACGGTTGGGGTAGGTTGGGTGGAAACTGGTGAGGCTTGTTAGAATACTGTGCAAAAGTGGAAGTCAACAGACTGCGAACAAGAGCCTAAGGGATTTACTGTAGAATGGGCACTGTGCTTCCCAGCTTGGGCTTTGTGACAGTTCTCTGGGCCACTGGATTAAATCAACTTGCCTGAAGCCACACAGCTGATGGGGAGGGCAGCTGGGACTGGAAGCAGGTGTGTCTGGACTGCTTTACCAGCATTCCCAGAATTCTACTTTCCTGCCCCTCCTATTTTACAGCTGTTCACATAAAAATCGTGACTGCTTTCTGAAAACCAGTTACTACTGGCTACTTCAAGTAACGGCTGACTTCTCTCTTTCACCTGAGCCTGCTGGAAGGGCCCCACCAAGTCTCCCAGGACTGGTGCCACTTTGGAGTCCAGCCACTGGCTCAGGCCATAGCTCCCTGGCCTCTCACACCTTCTCCTTGGACTTGGGTGCCCCGAGCTCACACCCCTCTATCCACCACTGAGAAACACAGCGTTCCTGCAGTGGGAGCAGAAGGGATCTATCACATACACCAAAGCAACCTCTCCCAACAGAGGACTTCGGGCCAGGTTCCATCAAGCCCGAGGGCTCCCTGAAACACCTTCACCAAGTTCCACCAGCTCCCCGAGTTGGGCTCTCCTCATCTGATCAAGTGAAACACATAATTTTCAATTCATAGGACCATGGGAAAGTGTCCCAAGGCCACTACTACTACAGATCAGCACGGCTAAAGAGCCAGAGGGCTCTTTCCACACTCAGTCCCATGGTGCCTCCTGGGCCTTCACACTGTCCCAGGCACTCAGGGCAAAAGGCCCTGCCGGATGGATCAGACCCCGCCAACACCTATGCCTTACTCCTACACCACCCGCTGGCTCGCAATACCAACTCTCCTTTCCTATCTTCAAGCTCCCGCACCACAGGCCCTCTGCACTGGCTGCTCTCTCCAGCTGGGATCTTCATCCCACTTGTAGAAAGACCTCAGTGCTAATGGCATCACGTCCAAGAGGCTTCCCTAACCTACTTATCTCACTCAACAAATAACCAGTCACACCTTTCTCTCTGTTTCTTTCCCACATAGAACCATTTATGATCTGCAATGATGGTTGTGAATTCACTGCCTCCCTAGGGCTGCTTGAAGACCTGAGTCTCCTGTGCCTGGCACACAGTAAGAACTCAGTAAATTGCCGGGCGCGGTGGCTCACGCCTGTAATCCCAGCACTTTGGGAGGCCGAGGCGGGTGGATCACGAGGTCAAGAGATCGAGACCATCCTGGTCAACATGGTGAAACCCCGTCTCTACTAAAACTACAAAAAATTAGCTGGGCATGGTGGCGTGTGCCTGTAATCCCAGCTACTCAGGAGGCTGAGGCAGGAGAATTGCCTGAACCCAGGAGGCGGAGGTTGCGGTGAGCCGAAATCACACCATTGCACTCCAGCCTGGGTAACAAGAGCGAAACTCCGTCTCAAAAAAAAAAAAAAAAAAAGAACTCAGTAAATAAATACCTGCTCAATAAATACCGAAGAAGTGAAATAGATACGTTACTACCCCATCTTGCAAATGTGAAAACTGAGGCACAGAGAAGCTAAGAAGCTGGCCCCAGGTCACATGCTTATGAAATGACCGATTTAAATTCAGACCAACGGTCAGCAGAATCCACACTGCGAGCCCTACTGCTCGGGACTCCTGGGGCACAGGCTACCATGGGAACCTAGCTGACACACGGGTTAGAGGAAAAGGAGGGCTGAGGAATTTCAGAGTAGAGGGCAGTTTCATGATTACACATACTGTTCAGGAGCTGCTTTTCCCAGCAAAGTGCCACCAAAGCTGGAAAGAGAAACTGAAAATCTGAGGGTCATAAGTCACCAGGATCTTGACTTCCCCCAGATGCTGGCCGGGCCCCCCACATCTGGTGTACGAGGACCCGCCAAAGTAGGGAGGAGAACATTCCCACACATCTGGCCTATGGTTTAGCAAACTGAGGACAGACAGCTGGTCCATCTGCCCTGTGGCAAGAGGTCACTGTGCCAAGCACCGACTCCATGCCTGGCATTTGGCCCTTGGCTCTGTATGTCTGGCTGCTTTGTGAAGTATGAGATGTCCAGAGCTTACTTTGCCGTTGGGGCAGGTGAGGTCCCAAGAGGGCAGGTCGCTTGCCCAAGGTCATGCAGCAAGTCTGGAGTCAGAGCCTGGTCCCACCCTGCCAAGCAGTCTGAGCCGCTCAGGGTTTCATGACGCCTGGCTTCCAGTGAGCCTGGCACCCAGCCCTCCAGGGAGAACGGCCCACAAGGCGGATGCTTGTCAATCAGGAGATTTCTTTTTCTCCTTTGGCATCTGGATTTGGTTTCATTTTGAACACAGGACTTCAGAAAATGAAACCAAAGCTGTCTGTCATTGGTGGCAGTGAGGAGAACCCACGTGTGCTAAGTGTACCCTGAGACGCTTTCCAGCTCCCTTGCTGGCCTTACCTGGCCTATGGTCCCCAGGCTAGGGCTTCTAACACAGAAACAAGGCAAGGCTTTGGAGGCCAGGGGTGAGGAGGAGGAGGGTTGATTGAGGTCAGGAGTTTGAGACCTGCCTGGGCAGCATAGTGAGACTCCATCTCTACAAAAAATTTTAAAAATTAGCCAGGTGTGGTGGCATGTGCCTGTAGTCTCACCTACTCAGGAGGCTGAGATGGGAGAATCTCTTGAGCCCAGGAGGTCGAGGCTATAGTTAGCTATGATCCTATGACTGCACTCCAGCCTGACCAACAGAGCAAGACTCCATCTCTATTAAAAAATGGACACGGGGGTTGAAGCCACGTGTTTGTGGGCTCCAACACACTGCCACACCCACAGGGACCCTTGAATGAACAACAGCAAACACCTACTGAGTGCTTAGCATACACTAAGGGCTGTTTTACGTACCTGACCCGTGATCGTCTAATTCCCACACAACCCTGGGAGGCAGGTACTGTTGGCTCTTTTCTTTTTGAGACAGGGTCTCTGGCAGAAGACTTTTCCATACAGTGGAAAAAAAGTGAGAGAGAGAGAGAGAGACAGAGTCTTACTCTGTTGCCCAGGATGGAGAGCAGTGATTGACTCCTGGGTTCAAGCCATTCTCCTGCCACCTCAGACTACAGGTGCAAGCCACTATGCCTGGCTGATTTTTGTACTTTTTTTTTTTTTTTTTTGTAGAGACCGGATCTTACTCTGTTTCCCAAGCTGGTCTCAAACTTCTGGGCTCAAGCGATCCTCCCGTCTGGGTCTCCCAAGTACTGGGATTATAGACACGAACTACTGCACCCTGCGACAGGTCCTATTATCCTCCCCCATTTCACAGATGAAGAAACCATGGTAGAAAGGTTAATTACATGCTCAAGGTCACACGAATAGAAAGGTGTAGAGTTGGAACTGGGTCTCCTTGTATTTTATCCATCACCCACAGCAGAGTGTGGCCCCTAGCAGATGTCCAGTGGACATCTCTCAAATGACCACACACCTGACCCCTGGCGCAGGCAAGGCTCTGCATCTTCTCTCTACCCACTGCACATACACAACCTACACCAATGACCACCACCAGCCCTGGCCACACGCAGATTCAGGGCACTGATGGGGTGCAGCCAGCCCGGTTCTGAGCCACCCCCTGTGATCAGGAGGAAACATAAGGACCTAGGCTCTGCCTGGGGAAGGAGGCAACAGAGGGCCAGGGAGGCAGGAAGAAGGACCAGGCACCAGGGCTTCCAGGGGAGAAGCCGTCTGCGCTGCCGCCTGAGAGCTGTCTGTAGAGGGCAGTGTGCGCCAGCGTGAGGCCCGTCACCAGGTCCCCAGCCTAGCCAAGCTTTTATGTGGCTCCTCACATACCTTCATTCAAAAATACACGCAGCAGCCAGACACATAATCCATGGCCTTGCACGGCAGCCGGAATCACTAAATCACAAACACGTGTGCAAATTACAGCCCTGACCACCCACTGCTCACCATCCCAAGCCTCGGGCATGTGTGTAGTGGGAAGGCAGTCTTTGAAGGGCAGATGCTTGACGCAGCAACAGGGGGAAATTTACGAGGTAGGTGTTGGGGAGAGAAGGGCTAGGAAAGCAGGATTTGGGAATCATCACGCAGAATGCACCATTTTTCCACTAGGCTCCAACTTTCTCTCTCCCAGCTGCTCCTTTCCCCAAAATAAAGACGGGGAGGGGAGAAACCAGGTCCAGAGCTCCCAATCTGCAAGCCATTGCAAATACCAGCCCCTCCCCGGCCTCAGTTTCTTCCGCTGTCGAGCAGTGGGAACGCAGGGAGAGCAGTCAAACCACCAGGGACCTTGCCCGGCCCCGCCCAGTTTCCGAGGAACTGGGCCGGGGTGGAGGCGCCCGCGCCGTCAGGGGTTCCTCTGAAGCCTGTGGTCAGACCGCCACTTCCCGGGAAACACGAGCCAAGACCAGAGACTGCTGCCTGCTGGGGCTTCGGAACAGGAGGGCGGGCGACTGTGGGGGTCGACGGCGTGTGGAGCAGGAGCTAGAAAGGGGTCTAGGGGTGAGGTCGGGCTCAGGGTTGGGGACACCTTGTGGGGGATCCCGGGCGGATCTGGCTGCAAGGGAGAAGAGTACAGGGCTCTGTCCCCAGCGGGTGTGGAGACACCTGGGGCAGAGAAGGGTGTGTCAGGGCGCGTCCCAAGAGGACCTGGGGGCAGAAAGTGGAACCTAAGGTAGCGGGGCAAAAGCCGGGTCGCCAAGTCCGAAGGGGGCGTCCGAGAAGTGGCCGGAAGGTACAGGGGCGGAGCCAGAGTCCCTCGAGGGACGGGTGCTGGGACAGGTGCAAACAGGCAGGCAGAGAGCCCCGCGGGAGGGTCCCGAACAGACGGGGGAGAGGCGCCGCAGCAGTCCCGCTGGCGCCACCGCGGAAAAAGAAACCGAAAGTGGAGCTGGGGGCGGGGCCTGACGGGGGCGGGGCCTCCCGCCTTCGCCCGCCCCGTCTCCGTGCGGGTTTAAAAGACTGGCGCAGGGGCGGGCGCCGAGCAGAACGAGCTGCGGCCGTGGCAGCTGCACGGCTCCAGGCCCCGGAGCATGCGCGAGAGCCGCCCCGGAGCCCCCCGGAGCCCCCCGCCGCCCCGCCCGCGGCGCCCCGCGCACCGCCGCCAGGTGAGCCGGTCCCTGGGCGTGGAGGCGTGAGGGAGGAGGGAAGGGAGTCCAGGGCAGCCGGGAGTCCGGCGGGCCTCAGGGGCTGCAGGATGGGGTCGCGGCCGCTACGCCCCTGGCCCCCGGCGGCCCCACCCAGGCCGCCCCCCGCCCGCGGGTCTCCAGCAGCACAGCCTTTCTCCGGCGCTAGCCCAAATCGCCCGGACCGGGCGCCGATCCCGGCCTGGCCAGCAGGCGGCGGGCGCGGAGCGGCGAGCGGGGGCCTGACAGCTGTAGCCGGAGCCGGCTGCTCTCCACGCCCCCCTCTCGGTTGTGCCCCGAGGCCGGACTCCGCCTCCACCAAGCCCCCACCCGCCGGGAAGAGCTCCGCGGAATGCAGAGCCCGTTGTCTAGCTGTGCCCACTGAGGCTGAACATAGCCGCGCGAACTTGGTGCTCCATGCTTGCCCCCTAGGGCCGGGTCCGCCGGGAGCGCCGCCCTCCAGAGTTGCCGCGCGGGCGCTCACCTGCCCGGCCCCGCAGCGCCCCGGCTCACCGCCTTCTCTCCCACGCAGCGCACCCCCGGACGCTATGGCCCACCCCTCCGGCTGGCCCCTCCTGTAGGATGGTAGCACACAACCAGGTGGCAGCCGACAATGCAGTCTCCACAGCAGCAGAGCCTCGACGGCGGCCAGAGCCTTCCTCCTCTTCCTCCTCCTCGTCCGCGGCCCCCGCGCGCCCGCGGCCGTGCCCGGCGGCCCCGGCCCCGGTCCCCGGCGACACGCACTTCCGCACGTTCCGTTCGCACGCCGATTACCGACGCATCACGCGCGCTAGCGCGCTCCTCGACGCCTGCGGCTTCTACTGGGGGCCCCTAAGCGTGCACGGGGCGCACGAGCGGCTGCGCACGGAGCCCGTGGGCACCTTCCTGGTGCGCGACAGCCGCCAGCGGAACTGCTTTTTCGCCCTCAGCGTGAAGATGGCCTCGGGTCCCACGAGCATCCGCGTGCACTTCCAGGCCGGCCGCTTTCACCTGGACGGCAGCCGGGAGAGCTTCGACTGCCTCTTCGAACTGCTGGAGCACTACGTGGCGGCGCCGCGCCGCATGCTGGGGACCCCGCTGCGCCAGCGCCGCGTACGGCCGCTGCAAGAGCTGTGCCGCCAGCGTATCGTGGCCACTGTGGGCCGCGAGAACCTGGCGCGCATCCCCCTCAACCCCGTTCTCCGCGACTACCTGACCTCCTTCCCCTTTCAGATTTGACCGGCCGCGCTGCGCACGGAGCATTAACTGGGGTGCCCTATTATTTTCTGTTATTATTTGTCTGGGACCACATGGGTGCCCTCCCCCGCCTGGGTTGAAGGGAGAGGGGGTAGGGGTGAGGCGCCTCCCGCTCTCGGCTGGAGGTGAGGCCGCAGACCCCCTCCTCACCTCTTGAGGGGGTGCTCCCCCTCCTGGTGCTCCCTCTGGGTCCCCCTGGTTGTTGTAGCAGCTTAACTTAACTGTATCTGGGGCCAGGACCTGAACTCGCACCTCCTACCTCTTCATGTTTACATATACCCAGTATCTTTGCACAAACCAGGGGTTGGGGGAGGGTCTCTGGCTTTATTTTTCTGCTGTGCAGAATCCTATTTTATATTTTTTACAGCCAGTTTATGTAATAAACTTTATTATGAAAGTTTTTTTTTAAAAAAAAAAAAGTTTCTAAAGCGTGTGCTTTGGCCAAAAGTTTAACTTGGATCTGAACAGGTCCAGGGGAGAGAGGTCCCTAAGGCTGACTTCCTGGGCTGTAGGTGGGGTATGGGCCTGCTCTGTGGCTGGGCACCCCTCACAGTTACACCCACAGCTCTCCAGGGAGAGAAACGGTTGGTCTAGTTTTGGCGTGTGTCTGGTAAGGCAGCAGCTCGAATTTGAGCACCTTGTGCGTGCCAGCCCTACTTCTGTGCTTTGCATGCTTATATTTACCTAATCCTATAGAGAGAGAGACACCACCCTGTGAGGCAGGGGGTCTGATCCCCATTCTACAGAAGGGAAACCTGAGTAAATCTCCCATGGCCATTCCTGTGTCAAAGACGACACTTGGGCATTTTTTTTTTTTGGGCTGCCCACTAAGCATCTGCTTGAAATGGATAACAGAGAGGAAACTTCTTTGGTTCTATGACCACAACAGCTTCCAGGAAGAGGACGGGGGTGGGGGCTTAGTTTTTGGAAGGAGGAGTGGCACATTCGGAACCAGCCTCAAGGGACACATATTTGGGATGGGATGGGGGATAGGGGCTGGGCCTGGCTTCCTTCTCACCCTGTTGTGTCTTGTGTGCTTTTTGGTGAACACACCACTTGGAGCCAGAAAGAGGCTCTGTGGTCTGTGGTGGTGGGAGGGTGCCGCTGGCGGCTAGGGCAATTCCCCTTGCCTCCCTGGGCCTCCCACCTTGCTAAAGGCAACTCTCTGCACATCATGGAGGAGGTTGATGTTTTCAGGAGCCAGGGAAGGGAAGGGTGGCTCCAGGACGTTTGTGGGGCTGACCCACAGCACCAGAAAGTGCCCAGGACCTGGGTGTCTGGCATCTTCTGTGTCTTAAGCCAGCCTGACACATGGACCATACTGGCACCTTGAAGGGAATAGTCAACACTTGGTGAATTGAATCATTTTCAGGTTTAGGGTTCAGCAGCCTGGTGGCCATGTCACACTCCATCTTTAGAAGCCAGAATGGCCCTCTGCAGCCTTGGACACCCTTGTAATAGTGCCCTAACGCTTAATAATACCTTTCAGACTCAAAAGCAAAGCATAAAATTCACTTGATGGTCTGAGAACCAGAGCAGCGCAGGCCTGTCTTGGGGATTAAATAGGCTTCAGGCCTTTAAGGATGGCCAGAAGAGATTTAGGATCTCAGAGAGCTTTGGCAATTTCATCCCTCAGTGAGGTGAAGTGGGAGGGAGGGAGGCGGTGTCTTGTCTCTACCTCTAAAGAATCTCTGCTTTTTCTTTTCCTTTCTTTTCTTTTTAGCCACGCCCTGCCCTTCCTTCTCTGCTGTGGATTAATTAAGTCCTGTCCTTGTTCTTTACCATCTGTTACCTGCTCTGGGCAGTGTCTGGAGAAACAGAAATCCAAGGCGGCAATGCTTGGGAATTGGGTCGTAATACTAGTGATACCCACAGACCCTCAGTGACTGCTCACTTGCTGTGCTGGCCCCATTTTACAGCTGGGGAAACAGGCTCAGAGAGGCAAAGCAGGACTGCAACAAGGGGGGGAGCCAGATTCTGCAAACTCACTCAGGATTTTTTTAGAGGCTGGGTACCACTAGGTAACCTGAGGACCTAACCGTTGCAATAATAACAGCACCAGCTGCTCATATTTCTATATAGCACTCACTGTGCACAGACTGCTCCCAGGTCCCGCATCACCTGTGTAAAGCATTCAACTCACACCCAGCCTTCCGATTTAGGTACTGTGAGCATCCCCGTTTTACAGATGAGAAAACAGGTCCTCCTCTAAAGAGGGGGCATCTAGCAGGTAGCTTGCAATATGTTATGGGTTTTTTTTTTCCCCTCCTTTATAAAAAGTATAAAAATTACATTTTCCTTACACAGTGCTGGGTATCCAAACCCATTCCTCTTACAAAACTTGAAGCAGAACAGCTAAGAATAAAGGCCCCTCTGATCACACTTCCCAGAGCTGGCCCCTTCCTCCCTTTATGAGTCATTTAAAATAAATCTATACTAACGTAGGTACAGTGACCTCAACACCCTGGGAGCTGCACCCCAGGTCCCATGTGACTCAAAGTGTGTGCAGGCACCACTGCAGGGGGAAAAGGCTGTGTGTGTGTGTGTGTGTGTGTTTGTGCCCAGGTGCGTGCAAGCGCCATGTGGCTTCCCAGGTGATACAGATTCCCCCCCACCAAACCTCAGCTTCATGATTCAGCAGCGCTGACGTCAATTTACAAGAATGAAAAGTGAGAGGAGGGTTTGTATGTAAAGGACTGACTTGGGGGCCCAGGTGCAGTGAAGGTGAGTGGATGAGCCACGGCAGCATGAGGCAGGCATCATGAGAAAAGAAGTGCTCTCTGGAATGACAAGGACTGTGTGTGGGTGCAGGGATAGCCTGTGACCAGCCTCCAAGCCACCCCTGCACACTCTGGCCCCCGTGTTATAGATGAGGAAATGGAGGCTCAGACAAGTGCAGCCACCTACTCAAGGTCATACAGCTCAAAAGTGATGGCCAGGACTTGGACCAAGTCCATCCCCCTGTAAACAAGACAGGTTTCTTCTTCTTCTTTTTTTTTTTTTTGAGAGAGAGTCTGGCTCTATTGCCTAGGCTGGAGTGCAGTGGCAAGATCACAGGTCACTGCAGAACCAAACTCCTGGGTTTAAGCAATCCTCCCGCCTCAGCCCAGGGACTGAGTAGCTGGGACTACAGAGGTGGGCCACCACACCCATCTAGTTTCCTTGCTTTTGGTAGAGACAGGGTCTCACTATGTTGCCCAGGCTGGTCTCAGGTGATCCTCCTGTTTCAGCCTCCCAGAGTGTTGGGATTACAGGCATGAATCACTGCTCAGCCCAGGATGGGTTTCTTATGTAGTGGGAGAGGGGATGGGATTAGGGAGGAATCTGGTGAAAATTCATATTCCTAGGCCTCACCTCCACCTGCTTGATCCTCCCAACCTTAAGAGCAGGTACTGTCGTTATCCCAGGAAGTGGCGAGCTGAGCCTCTTTCTAGGTAGAAAGTGCTTACACAAGCACGTGGCAGGTGCCAAATACATCTCTGAATGACGAGGTGCCAATAATGATGGCTGAGGTTCATACAGCAAACACTGACTGAGCACCTCCTGTGTTCCAGCCATTATCTATTTCTCCTCCTCCTCCTTTTTTTAAGAGATGAGGTCTCTGTTACACAGGCTGGAGTGCAGTGGTGTGATCACAGCTCACTGCAGCCTTCACTTCATGGGATCAAGTGATCCTCCCATCTCAGCCTCTTGAGTAGCTGGGACTACAGGCATGCACCACCATGCCTGGCTAATCTATTTTTGCCAAGATGGGGTCTGCCTATGTTGCCTAGGCCAGTCTCGTACTCCTGGACTCAAGTAATCCTCCCACCTTAGCCTCCCAAGATGCTAGGATTTATAGGTGGGAGCCACTGCACCCAGCCAGGCATTATTCTAAGCCCAAAGGATACAGGAATGAATAAAACAGAGGGGGTCTGGTCCCTGCTCACTGAGTTTACATTCAGGGCCTTGGACAGTAAATAAATAAACATGAAATAAAGGAAAAGGAACATTCCAAGTACATAGTGACAGTGGTCAGATAAAAACTCCACAGGGTGATTGGACAGTGGATGGGGCTCTTTTAGAGAGAAAGGTCAGGAGGCTTCTCTGAGGTGACACTGAAATTATTATTGTGCCTGGAATGACAGGAAGGCGCCAGCCAGGTAAAGCCAGGAGATGAAGTGAGCCGTCCAGGCAGAGGGAAGGGCTAGTGCAAAGGAGCTCAGTAGGAAGGAGTTTAACAAACCATTCAAGAAGGCCAGCAAAGTGAAAAGGTGGGAGGGATGGGCAGGGGTCAGGGCTCCTGGTGCCCTGTAGACTTTGGGGGAAAGTGTGAATTTCCAGATTGACGGGGAACGTGGAGGTGACCTGCTCTGACCTGGCTGCTGAGTGCAGATGGTCTGAGCAGGGGGCCTGGTGAGACGACCTTGGACTCCCTGCCTCCTCTATATTCACAAGGGAGCATTCATTCTTGGCCAGTCCCCTTGGCTTTAGCCAATCAGACCAACGACAAAAGGAGGCCACAGGAACCTGCCTGGGGGATGCCGGGCTGAGGTGGGTGTGGCCAGTTCCACCTGGATGCCAGCTTTGTACCTCTCACCTGGCCTCCCACTGCCATCACCCAGAACCTCCCTGGGGCTGGGAGCTTACCCGGAAGAACACAGTAGGCTTGGCCTGCTTTTGGGGGCAGGGGGTATCTAGTGTCCCTCAGAGAGGGAGGCGCAGTTTTCACCAAAGCAAATTCACACAGGGACAATGGTGCCCAGGTGGGCCCTCAAATTGCTCCTCCCAACTGTGGTCCTGGCTCTGGGACCCGACAGATGGCCCTCAGGGGAAACAGGTTCAAAGCTCTACGGGCCCAGTACACCCTCCTCCACCCCGTTCTCCACCCCCTGTCCCCCGACACCCAGGGCAGGTCCGGCATCCCACGCGGCAGCCCTACCTGGGTCCCCGCGGCAGCGCTCAGAAGGCCCACGTTCCGCGAAAACGGTCCAGGGGTCTGGGCAAGGCACTCACCGTGCTCCCTCCTGCCTCCGGGCCTTTGCCCGTGCTGCTCCCTGGTCCCGCTTCGGCAGTGCTGTCTGCCAGCCGGAGTCTGGGTGGAGGCAGACAAATGAGGCCCAACCAGCTACAGTCGAGCTGAGGCCCCACGGTGCCCACACTCTCAACCACCACGTGCTACGCCAGTGACGTCATTGCGCCGTTCTCCCCACCAACCGCTGCCCCCAACCCACTCGGCATGGCTCGGCCACGTTCGGCTTGACTTCTTTCGGCTCGGCCACACTCGGCTCCTCTCGGCTTCCTCTCGGCTTCTCCGAAGCACTGCTGGCTGCGCCGCCCTTCCAGCTTTCACGTGGTTCCCAGTCATCGTGGTGCGTCTTGTCCGCAGGGACCTCAGGGCTCTTGGAAGACCCCAGGCTGGGCGAGG